TAGGATCGATGTGTGTTGCAAACAATTTTGTTCGAGTTTTAATCACGCTTCCGTTCGTAGAGATGGAGTATCATTAGCTCTGCTTTGACTTTCATGACATTCACCAGTTAGGTCTATAAGCATTCACAGAGGAGTCAAGCTACCTCGAGCCTATGATTGTTCTAGTCTGCCTTTTTTCATCCTCCCTCTCTCCACATCACATTTGTGAGTAGTATTATTAATTTGCATCTCGATGGAAATTATTCAGCTCATCAAGGCGAAGTACTACTAAGACGTAAGTCGCCTCCGCACTTTGAATACTCCCACCGCCCTCCCCCTGATCACTCGTATCCTGCAGTATTCATGAATTTACCTTTCAATTCCCCGCTGACTGCTTGTAATTCCTCTCTAGAGTTAGTTGGATTGTAGTCGATTGGCTTCAACGCGCTTGTGCTCTTTTAGTATTCTGTTTGGGTCTTCAGGCAACTGTGTAGTGTTTAAGGTCGCTTTAGTTTTTTTCTGTCCAATAAGAAAATGATTCAGCGAACTAGAATAGCCTACGCTTCTATTTCTGTAGGTATTGGATTATGTTCGAGATAGTATCACCCTAACTTTGGAGCGTTCTTAGCTTCTCTTATATCAATATTAACAGTTAGGAATTGGGGGGGAAATTGTAAATTGTTCTTTTTTTGTGTGTTAACTGTAAGCAAGTTAGCATAATTTTGTGGCTTCTCATCGGTAAAATATGATTCAAAGCATCGGTCGTAAAGCGCTGTCTTCATACCTCTTTCCTTTCCATCAATTTACTTCAACCATTTCACGCTCTTGCCGTATTTCTCTTTTTTCACTTGTAGAACAATAATTCTAACATATTTTCTCAGTAATGTAGTATCTCTACCAAAATTCGACCACTTGCACAGTACTCACCTCACCTTTCACCTACCTTTGTGTCTGTCTCTTTTACATCTTTAAAACACTCTTCTGTCCCCCCCCCCCACTCTCGACTTTTTTTCTCTTTGATGTTCCTCTCCCTCTGTGAAGCCTGAAGTCAACTAAATGGCTAATGATAACTATCATAAAGCCTGCCATTTGATATAAATGTAAATATTCCAAATCGTTACACCCCCAGCATCTAATTTACAGGCTTTGGAGTGGTCAAGTCCATTGTTATTTACAGATTTACCCTTGCGCCATTGCTTCTTCTTCTGGCTTTTTTAAAGTTTCTTTTCAGAACGCTGTTCGGTCTTAGTCACCTCATAAGATTTGTGGTGTATTTGTGATGTACAAATTTGATTTATTACTTGGTTCGAAATCAGTACTCTCTGTCAATGGCTCTGATTTGAGTTTTGTTCACTTCGCCCTGACAATTAGTTTAAACTCCAATCAGAGTTATTGTGAGTTTTAATATATATGTATTTTTTTTCTCTTGAAAATTTTAGATTTATGTCTTTGGGATTTTGCAAATAATCTTTGACAGTGCTTCTGAAGCCCTCTTACCAATTTATGCGTTTTAGAGTTATGATCTAGTATACTACAATTTCAATAACAGAGGTTATAGATTTACTTGGGGGGGGGGAATTCTGATTTCTCAAAGGTGTAAATAAAAGAACATTTTTTCCACCTCGCATTTTACCAATCTTCCTTATCCCACCCCCCACCCCCCCTCCCCTCCGTTTGTCAAGAAAGCTTTACAATTAGATTGATGGTCCTTTCAAGTTGAGGGTAAAATGTTCTTAATCAAACTTTTACTGAGTGAAATTGAGCACGATTCCCTTGGAATCGGGAGTGTTGAAGCGGATCCTAAATCTCCCTTATCTCCCCCCTCCCCCTCCTCCTCCCACCTTCCTTTTGCAAATGTCGTCCAATTTTCTCCCTAAGTGCTTATCTGTTGTTATTGTGTTGGTTACAGCCACGTGCTGTAACCAACACAGCTATTTTCTTAAAAGTACAGGCATGAGATCACCTAGATCACACAAGTTTGAGCAAGTCTGAAGTTGCTGCTGCTCTGTGTGTGTGTGTGTGCTGTTTTTGATAAAGTTCATGTTCAATTGACTTCTAATTATAACCACCCTTTTTGCTCAACTTAGTTGAAAGTCATGTTAGCATACTTATTTTATTGAAATAGGTAGATCTTGGTGGGGGGGGGGGGGGGGCTGAGGGCGGTGGAGATGTCTCCACCAGTCAGTTCGCACCGTCCATTCTCAAGATTCTGTGCCGACTTATGAGTCATTCTCTGGTTAATTTTTTCCGGTGAATCGCCTCAGACTCATATAACCAAATCTTTGGTACTAGAAATTAGTGGGTCATTGTCATCTGCTAAATTCATTACTCATCACCTTTGTTTTCCGTTGATTTATCTTCTTACATTTTCTTTCAAATTTTCATTCAAAGGTGCCAATAAAATCATGGATACTAAGTTCTTTGTTCATGCACTTTATTAATGAGGTTGTTTTAGGTGGTAAGTTTTTTTTTGGGGGGGGGGGGGGGGGTTAATTCA